CCCCCATTGGCCCCCCCAGAAATAAAAGTCTAGCTCCGCCACTGCGCCTCGCACACCAGCTCAGGCTCCTTCCCCACCAGAGAGGTGACGTTCCACGTCCCTAGAGCCAGCTTCTGCAGCCGGGGATCAGTCCGCCAAGGTCCCCGACTCCGGCCGCCGCCCAGGGCACAGCGCACCCGACCCCTATGGCCCGTCCCATGGGTGGTGGGCCCATGGGACGGGGGACCCATGTTGCCTTTTCGCCCCATGGGTGAAGGCCCGGCCACCAGGCGCTCGCCATGGTGCCCCGCCCCTGGGCCTGGGTCCAGGGGGGGGCCCCGGTGACCCGCGCCCGGGCGAGGGAACGGTGGATCCAATTTTCTTGATCATCATAGGGGTCTTCTTGGCTGCGCTTCGTCTGATCCCTCACCTAGGACCTGTTTGCCTTGGGTGACCCTACCAGGGGCTTGAAGCCCTGGACAACATAGCTCCTAGGATCACTGGGACACTCAAACCCCTCCACCACGATAAGGTGGCAGCCAGGGAGGGGAGGACATACTTTCCCGTCACAGTCTGACCAACAACATCCCTTTACGTGTTAGATTGGTGAAATATCATTTTCAGTGAAATCTCTACCTTTTCTGAGGCATTCTTGTTGTTGTTTGGCCTGACCTACGCTTGATACAACTTCAAGTAGTCATTGTACAGCTTGTATAGCAGTATAGATTCATTGTCCTCTTGTCCTTTTGTGTTCGCTTTCTTAACTTCTTTTTTCTTTGTTTGCTCTGTTGCTTCACTGTAACTCTGTGAAATTTCGTCCTCTCTAATGAGGTCTTTTTTTTCCAGAAAGTTTCGAGCCCTTATTTGTGCTGTTTTTGTATGCTGCCAGTGCCTACAACGGGATACACTGCCGTTGTTCACTGCCGTTGTTCATTCCAAAAAAAAGCTGATCGCATTGAAGCCGGCCGGCGTGGTGACCAGACCAGCAGAGGTACCACCTGACCTCTGGAAGAAAACATGCCAAGGTTGAAGAGGAGGAAAACAACATCGGGGGATGAAAGCAAGGTCGAGGCGGCAAGGGCTTATTGAGAGAAGATTTAAGCAGTGTCTCCCCTCTGTATTACGGGCAACGTACGGTCTCTTGGCAACAAGATGGACGAGCTAACAGCACTGCCGTGGGGCCACCCGGAGTACCAGGAATCTAGTCTGATGTGTTTCACTGAGACGTGGCTGCACATGGACATAACGGACCAGAGTGTCTCCGTGGATGGCCTTCACACCGTCCAGGCCGA